TTAGAAGAGATTTTTGGTAAGAAGAGGTTCGATTTTGCAAAAAAATAAAAAAAACAAAAAAAACCCCAAAAAACAAACAAACAAAAACAAACAAAAAAAAAGAAGCAGTGATCTTTCAAAGAATTCTACTTTTAACTAATATAATCCTTAAACTTTTCAAGCTCAATTTCTCAAGTTTTCACAAATTAAATGGGGTGTGTGGGGGGATGTAAAAAATATTTTTACCAAAATTTTCTAATGAAAAAAATTTAAAAAAATGATTTCATTCATTTGTGAATATCTCCTGAAAATTTAATCAAAATCCCGCAATTATTTGATTTTTACAACAATTCTGCCAAAAAAAAAAAGAGGGTAAAATTAGCTCTGCTAAAAGTTAGTAAAGTCGCCAACGCAAGAAAAAAAAAAAAAAAACGTTATTTAATTAAAATTTCCAATGTTCTAAAAAGGAGAAGTTTAATTAAATATTGAAAAAAAATACTTTGATCCTTCCTTTTAATAACAAAATGATAAGATTTAATAAGATAATCACGATAAAACTACGTTTCCATTATGTTTGTAACTTGTTTTAATCACCGTACCCTGATTTTTTAGCGAATTCGTGGAGGTACCTACATAAATATTATATCATACAAAATCGATATACAGTTGACTGGATGACTGAAGTGTGGTATTACTCTACCATCTCAGATCTACGATTTGTCTGAATTCCCGCTAGGTGGCATTGTATAAATCAGTATAAAAAGGAAGGATTCGCACTCACTTTCTCTATTGTTTTAATTTTTTTTTGCTCTATTCAACAATTCATATCTGCTCATGGCGTATCAAAATGTAAACAAATGACGTCACACATTATGAAATTAACAAAGTCCGACAATTATTTTAAGACATTTTTATGTTTATACATTGTTTTTATAGATACAAATATTTAAATAAATGCTCTGTTTATAATAAACAGTATTAAACAACATTTACTGGCCTGAATGTTGAAGAAATTTTCATAGAAAAGACGGAGGACGAATATTTTCTATGAAAATCGACCTTGCGAACCGAACGCTCCTCTGTGGCCAAATCGGTTAAAGGCGCGTCAAGCTATATGCCGTATAGGATACAGGTTCGATTCCTGTCGGAGGACGAATATTTTCTGTGAAAATTTCTCGGAAATTCAGGCCGTTAAATATTGTTTATTATAAACAGTGCATTTACTTAAATATTTGTATCTATAAAAAGAACGTATAAACATAAAAATGTCTTAAAATAATTCTCGAACTTTGTTCATTTCATTATATGCATTATTTTATTTAAATAATTTTATCATATATTTTAAAATGGATTTTACTCACTACAAAGATGCAACTTCGTTTCAGTGCATTTTAACTGCACTTCGACAGGTGAGAATCAAAAATGGTTTCACATACGGCTTGCCTACAACCAGGATTGTTCATGACCATTTTCGATTCTCAGCCGTTGATGTGCAGTTGAAATGCAGGGAAACGAAGTTGCATCTTCGTAGTGAGTAAAATGGTTTTGTCTATATGATAAAATTATAAAAAAAATAAATAATTATCGCTCTACTATCGGTATCAATTTGTTTCTTTTGGATTAATGGTGCTGGAATTTATATATTACTTTCGTTCACATCGCATCGGTATATATATATATATATATATATATATATATATATATATATATATATATATATATATATATATATCAGATTGTTCAAATTTATCTTTTCATAAACAGTTTGTTCAACTGTATCTATAGATGTGTCTATCTCTCTGTCTATCAGTAGCTCTTCATATCTATCTATCTATCATTTTCGTAATTTTCAAACTCAAGTGTAACGCAGCATTGCGGCGAAACACTAGTTTTCTTGTTTTTTTTTAAAAAAAAATACTATGATTTTCTTTGGAGAAATCCGAAACTTAGAAATGGAACATCAGTCAATCTACTGTCGTCTCGCATCAATCACTAAAATCTTATTTAAAAGAAAAATGATTATCTTTCTCGAGAAATAAAATGAAAGGACGCTTTAGGAGATGCCAGGCCTGTCAAAGTTTAACAGGACGGAAAATATTGGGGTTTGTGAAAATACATACACAATATATCACAGAAAATGCTAAAGTTTTTTTTATCTATCTATCTATCTATCTATCTATCTATCTATCTATCTATCTATCTATCTAAGTCTGTTTCTTTCTATCTATCTATCTATCTATCTATCTCAGTCTGTTTCTATCTATCTATCTATCTATCTATCTATCTATCTATCTATCTATCTATCATGACCCACGACTCTCAATTCCTCTGTTCATCTCCACCAACAGCTTGCTATCTACCTACTTGCAACTTCAAAAACTGAGCTTTCTGTGACTACATTCATCTATCTATCTATCTATCTATCTATCTATCTATCTATCTATCTATTCTTTCATTTTTTTCTTTCTTTCTACTTTTTCTTTCTTTCTATCTGTCGTCCTATTTTCTTTCTTTCTTTCTTGTTTATATCTGTATATTTACATAATTTACGTTTGTTTAGATCTATCTATTTACACACACACACGCACAAACACACACATACACACACACACACACATATATATATATATATATATATATAATTATTTATTTAAAAATTATAATATAAATGTTATAGAATCACTACAAAAATATCCATTTTGTTTTAACACCTGTGGTGTCTTATCAAGTGATGATGTTGAATATAAAATATAGGGTTTTATTCTGTATTCAACATCATCCCATGATAAGAAACCTGAGGTTTTAAAACAAAATTTATTTTTATATGATTTATATATATATATATATATATATATATATATATATATATATATATATATATATATATGTTTTATTGTTTGGGGTGAATATCAGTTTAAAAATGATATATATATATACACACACATTTATATATATATATATATATATATATATATATATATATATATAATGTTGTAGTATATGATGAAAAACAGCACAATGCTTTCTAAGTATATATGAGAAACTAAAAACAAAACGCAAATCACACAAAAATATCTTGGAAAATAAGGAAAAGATCATCAGCTTTCAACAATCAATCAAAAACCTGCAAACTTTCCTTGGAGAAAAAAAATAGCTATTGTTACCTTCCCAGACCAAAATAAATTATTAAATTAACAATCTGAGCTCATCTCAAAATGCAGACATGAAAACAAATTTTTACTACGTTACTTAAAAATCGAAAACTGAAAAGAATAAATAAAAAATAAACAAAAATATTATAAAAAAACAAGTAAAATAAATTAACCCAAGCAAATAAGAAACAAATTAACAAACGACTCCCGTTAGAATAGACGAAATAGAACAAATAAAAATAAAAACAAATACATAAAATGCAAGTAAAAATAATCAATCCGAATAAATAAAGTAAACAAATTAAGAAACCAATAAACGTTGAAATAGACTACAACAATCAATCCAAAACCTAAACGAGAAAATAGCTATAACTGCTATATAGCGTTAAAAATTTCGAAAACCGAATAAATAAAAATATACATAATAAAAAATAAGCAAATAAATAAGAAAAATATAATCATAATAAATAAATTAACAAATCGCTCACGCTAAAATAACCCTTAGAACTAATACAAATAAACATAAATAAGCAAAAACAATTAATAATGATGAATCTAAGTAAATAAATTAATTAAATAATAAACAAATTAAAAACTGTCACTAGCCAAAATAGCAGAATAGGCTACGGCAATCAATCCAAAAATTGGACGAATAAAAAGCTTTATCTTCCCAGACCAAAGCAAAATATTTAAGAAGCAACTGAAACAAATCCCCCAATTTTTTACTACGTTGTTAAATCATCGAAAACCTACAGGAATAAATAAATATAATATAAAATTAAAAATTAAAAACAATTAAAATAAATTAACCCAAATAAATAAATAAACAAACCACTAGCGCCAAAACAACCGCCAGAATGGATTACCCACAATCGACCACATGCCCATATATATATATATAAATAGTCGAGAAAAATCCAACACCCGCGGCCTGACGATTGCGTATAGCATGAAACAGCCTGTCGCCACTGAGTGTTAACTTTTATATATGTATATCGTCGTCGTCCTCGGCATCCGTCCTTCTCGAGAGACGATGGAGTAGGGCGGTGTGCTACGAGCCAGCGCGGGATATATGGACAACTAGGGCTGCCCGGACGTCTAGTTCCCCCTCTCAGATTTGCTAGCAGATTTCAAAGGAGGGATAAAACCATACATTTGGTACCATTTTTATGCAGGAATTTGCCGAAAAAGGTAACAAATACCGTCCATCCGCCTTAGGGCTCCACTCCGGGTTTGAATTCAGAGTTGTACTTCTAACCAGTTGCCATCCAAGGCTATAGAACCCAGACTGTCCTATAATATATCCTTGAATGCCAAATCGTCTAGAACTGGTTGTAACTAGACTAGTTGCCATTCAAGTATATATATATATATATATATATATATATATATATATATATATATATATATATATATATATATATTTGACAGACTTCTGTTCTATATCCTTGAATGGAAAATGTCTAGAAGAAATACAACTCTGAATATAATAATATTATTATAATATATTATTCTTAAGCTCATTAGACGTTGGCATTGAGCCTTCGGTGGATTTTATATTTTAAGCTTTTAGCCAATGTTAATCTATAGCATATAATATTACTATTCAAAAATCCTCATTCAAAAACGGCGGCAAATTAATAATAAATCGTATGACAGTAACAATTATATATTCATTAACCGTACGGGAAGTAAAACACTATGTTGAGATAATTAACCATTGGTAGACATGTTAAATTACAGTGTGACGTGTGTGTGTATGTATAAAAGGCAGCATGCGATTGTAACGAATGCACAGCCGCAATTTTCGACGGATTTGCACCAAAATTTACATGCACATGCTCCAAGTTAGCAGGAAGGCCAAGACCGACTTTGCATTTCCCAACTCCCATCGATAGTGGAAATAATCGATTTTTTCATGCTTCTACAGCAGTTTTCGTGTAGTTTGCGGCCATTTTCAATTGGCCAGAGTGAGAGCCAATAGCTGGCTGCCACGAATCGGCAGAAAGATTCTATTGGCCAGCGTGAGAGCTAACTGCTGACTGACACGAATTTGAACTAGCATGCAAGCATGGAAAAAAAAATCGATAGCTGCATTCGTCACAAGTTGGAAAAATTTAAATCGGCATGGCACTTTATTCCAATTTGCTCATTCGCTTGCTGAATCTTAACGTTAATTCTGATTCCGCAGAACTGGGTTAGGTGTAACAAAGTATTTGTTGTTAACATTCTTTTTTCATTCGGTTTTTCCAATTACGAGTCCTTTTTTAAAGCTGATCGTTTTGTGTTCATTTTGCTTAGTTCTTTTTTCGTAACAGATTTAATGTTTAGTATAGAGCTTAGAAAAAATTTGCAGTGTGAGATAGGTAAGAAGTAAGGCATGTAGCAACATCAGCACGGAAAAGGGCACTCCTTTAAAAGCAAGGAAGGGCAAAAATATTTTAAGTCAAGTGATATCGATTGCTGTATGAGTCGTACGATTTTTGAATCAAGCACGGGCAACGCCGGGCTATGCTGCTAGTAAGCCAATAAGAAAAATAGTTCTTTGAAACCTTTCGATGTTTTTGGCTGCTTTAAGCCGTGATGCGCTTAAAAGATTCAGAAATATATCCGCATATAAATTTGTCTTCATCATTCTCAGAACCAAAGTCGGTAATCTTGCTGCAGGCATCATCTGGTCGTACTTTTTGGCAAGATCTTGGAATATATAAGGACTTTAACGATACTTATATGCTAAAAACCAACTCTATAGCTGTTTACACTATTTTCATTATTTACATTGTTCGAACTTTTCTCCCCATCTTTATTGTCATGTTCACGGCGTTTCTGCCGTTGTACGCTCCGGCCTTCTTCAGGATCTGTCTATTTTCTGAGATGAGGTATTGTAATTATTTACACTGTTTATATTGTTCGGACTGTTGTCCTCATCTTTATTGTCATGTTCACGACGTTTTCTGCCGTTGGCCTTCTTCAGGACCTTCTATGTTCATAGATGAGATATTGTTAAAACTTTATTGAATTTATATTGTTCGAACTGTTGTCCTCATCTTTATTGTTATTTCACTATTTCTGCCATTGTAAAAAAAGAAGAATTTATCTGTCTATATTTCTGAACTATTGTCCCCATTTACAAGTTAATATTAATGTTCGGAATTCTTGTCCTCATCTTTATTGTCATATTCTTGGGATATTTCTGCCGTTGACGCTCCGCCTTCTTCAGGACCTGTCTATATTTCTGAAATGATGGCAGTATTAACTATTTACAATTTATTTTTTCTTTAAAATGTCCCCATCTTTTTATCATTTTCAGATGTTTTCTGAACTGTTGTTCCGGCCTTCTTCAGGACCTGTCTATATTTCTATGAGGTATTGTAAATATTATTCAACATAGTTCGAACTATTATCCTCATCTTTTATATATATATATATATATATATATATATATGTATGTGAATATGTTCTGTATGTATGTGTGTGTGTGGGACCAAATTTTCAGTTCTACACCCTCATTCAAAAAGGCAGCAAATTCATAATGAAACTTATGACAGTACAATTGAGATTTTTACGATATATATATATATATATATATATATATATATATATATATATAATATATATATATCTTACGGAAGATAAAACGCATACGTCAGTATGTTGAGATAATTAACTACTGGTAGACATGTTAAAATACTCGACGAATGAGACAAAAAGACAAATAATTCTCCTGGGTTTTAAATATGTTTTCAGATGTATTACGCCACATTTGCGCTTAAAAAAATTCGTTTCATATATATATATATATATATATATATATATATATATATATATATATGTCGAAGCTTTTTTTCTGTTGAAACATTGCAATGGGATAAACATAACATCCTGATGAAGGCTTCTTTTCGTTTTTCTCGCAAATGTTAAATAAATAAATCCTCTTTGCTTAAGCTGCCTCGTTCGTCTCTTGCTTATTTTCATTCTTGCTATTTTGGGTGGGGGAGCTTATGCAGGCGTGTTAATGACAGACAGCTATCGCCGTACACTCATAAGTATTTATTCAACGAATGGCTTGAATATAATACCGACTGTAGGCATGTGTGGGTGTATAAGAGATAGAGAAAAAGAGTTTAAGAAACAGGAATTGTGTTCAAATAGGCGAAAGATAGATCGATCTTAATATTTGACACTATGATACAGAATGGCAGGAGGACGAGTATATGACTGGATAGAAAGAAATAAATTAAATTATATATATATATATATATATATATATATATATATATATATATTTATATATATATAAAAAATAATCAAAAAAAAAAAAATGTTTTGGTTATGTTGATTTTTTTAAAAGGATATATTACACTTTTCC